AGAGGGATGGTCGGGGAGGACGGCAGAGCTCCCCCGCCAACCCTTCTCCGCCGTGTTCCCTTCTCTTCGGGCGATGTGTAGCGTTCAGGCAGTCTACTTACCGCTTTCTGGAGCTTTAGTATCTTGTCTTTTAACCCCGAGAGCTAAAGAGTTACATGTTAACAAATGATAGCTCCGGGTTTTCTGGAGCCGCTGGTGTTCACTGAGGCACACTTGCAGGGAAGTGGATACACCTGTCTCTGAGGAGTTTTTCAAGTGTTGTAGATGCCATGTGTTGGCACCTGCACCAACCTCATTTCAGTTGCTCTCATGGGGAGAGGAAGGCTTTACATGTATGAGGTTGTAAGCCCTGATGGATGACTGCAGTCTGGGGGAAACTACACTGTCTGAATCAGTGAGATGGCAGCTTTTGGTGCTGTATCATTTTTATGGTGTTTAAAATACCTGTGTGGCTTGTTTCCTTCTGAGCAAAGTGATCGCTCAAGCTTTGGAGACAGGCAAGTCATAATATGTCCTGTGTAATAAAGGAGAACTGGTGTAGTTACTAATTACTTTAATGGTGGCTCAGACTGATTTATTCAGCTACTTTAACATCTAGAATGACTATATTGCATTTTTATGCCTAATTCTGTCCTTGGCACTGCAGTTCTAATGTCTAGGGTGTATTCTGGTTCCAGAAATTAGGACTCAGGATTCAGATGCTTTCTCTCTCAGGTGATCATAGGACCATAGAGCTGTTCATCATCTGGAGTTTCCCAATTTGGATTTAGTTTAAGTGTCAGTAAATTTATTTTTCTTGCATAATACATTTGTTCTGACATTGAAGTAATATCAGGAATATCTGGTATAGTAAAGTTACATTTATGGATTGCTTTATGTATCAGACTGACAGAGAATAAAAATGGTAGCAGGTGTCACAGTTAACTGTCACTGTTAGATCTTCTGACTCGTGTACATGTGAGTGAGTGCATGTGCCTTCCAGAACTTCTGTATATCTGGTTATATCGTTTGATGTTAAGTTGGTGAAACTTTTTAAAGCCAATGAGCCTATAAAGTTGAGTAGGGTGAAGACACATGAAGAGAAATTTGCACCTTAAACAGATATAGATGTTCCAAAACTTTCTTATGTTCAAATGGGCTGTAGTTTTAAATTTTCAGAGTTGTATACAAAATTAAACTCCCTGGTAGAAACATCTACTGTGAATGTGGCCCACAAGTGTGGCACAGCAGAGGCAGCACGAGCCCTATGTGCAAGGGGAAGCAGCCCCTTAACATATATGTCGTTTATTAAAAATCCTACTATGTATATAATCCTAGAAGCCTACTATGTATATAATCCTACAAGATATCTAAAAGTCCTTCCATCCCTGTAATTTTATGAAGCTCCAGGAAATAATATTAGAAAATGCTGTGTTTTGAGCAGACAGAGGATTTACGTGCTGATTGGTTGTTATAATGTTTCACTCCATATAGATGTCAGTGCAGTGTAAGGATACCTGAACTGACTTTATCAGTGCGGAGTTGCTCTCTGCTTTGTAGCCACGTCTGTGTTTATTCAGGCTAATGAAATGGGATTTATTTGTGACCTCTGTTAGAATCCCCAGCATTTGCCACTGTCATGTGTTGGCTTTTGGACTATGAAGCTTTGATTCTTTTTTTTTTTCCCCTTCTGTTCTTTCCCTTGCTAATTTTCTATAACTTGGGATTTTGACAGTGTAGGCATTAGAGATAAGGAGTATATGTATGGAGCTGGATGTGAGAAAGGACTGCGGTCTACAGAAGCGAAAACCCCATATGGGAATTTGGCTATGAGAGCAGAAACAAGATGTGAACTCATAACCGCTTTTACACAGGAAAAGCATAGGGTTTGGTGTGTTTGGGCTACAGTCACTTCAGTGGAGGGCCTGCAACTTTGTAGAGTTTTTCAGTGCTTAAATGGTATCATAATGCTTTGACTAATCGAACATACTGAATGAAACAGCTTCAGAAATATCTAGCTAAGAAAGGCAAAACACAGAACATTCTGGTTATTGGGCTGGTTACTTTATATCGTGATTTGTTAAAGTGTGTGTGACCTAAGATTCCTGCTTAGTTTTCACTGAAGCTCTCAATGAACAAAATATTTTGGGCATAGACCTCATTCTCGGGTTGTGGAACTCTCACATTAGTTCCTGAGAGCAGTTAGCATGTTATGACTAGGTCTTGGGTTTTCTGAAGCCTGGCTTGAGCTGACTGGATGGTGTGGACCTTCAGAGCAGTGCTCTGTTCAAGGCCAGCTAGGTACTTTTAATGCTGAAAAAACAATCTCCTGTGTCCAGAAGTTGCCCTTGTGTGTTAACTTCAGTTTAGTGTGGCACTACTGAAGGTGCCTTCTGTCTGTTGTAGACTCCAGATATGCTTTATGGTGGTTCGGGATGAAAGAGGTCTTTTTCTTCGTCAAGACTGATTTGGGGCGAGTGGGCTGGTTCCTTCTTAGAAATTATTACACCCAATTTAAGCATAATCTTATGTTTGCTTAATCACGTGAGAGGATATAAAATTCTTTAGTGTTTTGCAAAGCTTCTTCCTTGAAATGAGCCATGATCTTGAAAATGGTGCTCATGTGCTAGTTCCCAAAGCTGTGGACTCCTACCGATGCAGGCAGCTTTCCTTCTGTTTCAGCAGACTGTGTAACCGGTTGTGCGCATTCTGTGATTACTGTGCGGTACAAGAGCATGATTCATGCATGCGTCTAAGCAAGCATTAGAGGGAAGCCCTCTGGCAGAACTTCCTTGAAAATTCTAGTGCAGTGTGTACGACTAAAGACACTCTTCAGCAGTTTGAAAGCCACAAGCTTTGGTATCCCATATATGTGGACACTTTTATGACGCTGTGTTTCAAGCACCCATACATGCAGTTTACTGCCTTTTAATAGAGCCTTTATGAAACATGTAAGTTCCAGAAAGTTGGAAGAATATCACAAGGATGTCATGTGTAGGGGAATAAGAAGTGCAAGGAAAAGATTGCTTCCTGGGGGAAGGGAAACTGCTGAACTTGCAGGGTGTAACACATCAAGAAGTTGGAGAACTCCCTCTTTGCTGAAATGGTGGTGTTTTCATGAGTGAGGGTATTTGTGAAGCTGAATTTTGACTCTGTGAGAACACTCTTCAATTACTAGATAAAAACTGGAGAAAGAGTCTCATTAAGTGTCTAAAATTTTTTTATGTGTTCAATATATACTATGGTGTGATAAGACGGCCAGATGTATGTAACTAGACTGACCAATAGCTATGATGGCACCCTAAACTGGCATCTTAAGTACTAAAAGTAAGAAGCATACCTCTGTTGGAAAACTGAAGCGCTGGTGTGTTAAGTATCTTGGGTCTGCAGATGATGAATAGGTTAAAAGTGAGTCTTGGGGTTAGCGCGTTCTTCACAGTCAGACTGGGTGAATTAAACTTCTTCACTGGCTAAAGGACTCATTAACAGCTTTTAATCACTTGGTCTCTGAGGTTCAGTTTCCCACCTGTGGGGGAAGAGGGTGAGACCTTTGCTACTTGATAGCATTGAGAACAGATACAGGTCTTGCTGTATCACCAGCCCCTTCTAGGTTTCTCCCTAATCCAGGGCATTCTTGTCAAGAGAGTTGTTAGTAAATCTTGCCTTTTAATAAATCTGGAAGTTAATGTCTCTCCCAAGTGGAAGTACCAAGTGTACCTGACATGTAATTAGGCTCTGTGCTATAGGTATGCTTAATTTTTTTCTGATGCTGGCTGGTTCAGTGATTCTTTGCATAGTCTTCCTTCAAAATTTGAGTCCAAAATGAAAATAAAATAGAGAAGTAGCTGGTAGCTTATCTGTCAAAGGTTCAAACTTCAATATATTTTCAGCTGAACTAACAACCTAGATGGCAGGAAGCTTGGACTATCATAGGAAAAGTAGCAGAAGCTCTAAACTGTCAAGCATTCTTCTCTTGTAATTGGTCACGTAAGTTACGCCTTGGGACAAGACTTGTGATGTTTTTAAAGAAGCCTGTAATCCCTGTTTTGAGCCAGACAACTTGTATTACATTGTTACAGCTCTAGAAAAATCCCTCATTGAGATTGATGTGAAGGAACAGTTTGGGTAGCTGAAAGAATCTTGAAGGAAAATTAAAGGTGTTATAAATATTAAATGGTAGGTGACTGTTACGCTGCTAAGGAACTCTTGACTTTTACAGATGATTTTCGATCCTACTATGAGCAAGAAGAAGAAGAAAAAGAAGAAGCCCTTTATGTTGGATGAGGAAGGAGGGGATACACAAGCGGAAGAGACTCAGCAATCGGAAACAAAAGAAGTTGAACCAGAGCCAACAGAAGACAAAGATGTTGAAGCAGACGAAGAAGACAGCAGGAAGAAAGGTAAAGTGAATCCACATAGATAAACTCTCAAAGATTACAGGTCCCATTACAAGAATTTGGTATCACAGTGTATAATACCAGGGCCCTAGTTCCGAGGTTTGTGAGAGCAATACTCTCCTGACTGTTTGGAGGGCGTATTTCCCTCCTGCTTGAAGTCACGTTCACAGACATCCAGCAAGCTACCAGTGGCTTATGTAAATTCCTCTTTCCTGACTCAGGCAGTGTCTTTTGTGTGAGGGAATGAAAAGACAATCCCTAAAATAGTTAGCATGAAGTTTTAAATCTTCCACATGCAGTTGTTGCAATAATTCCACCATTATGGCTGTCTTTCATATGAACAATTAAGCAATAAGCTGAATGACAGAAATACTCAGTTTTTGGACAATTGTGAATGTGATAAGTAGAGTGTTCATTGGACTCTTTCAGGAAATAAGCTTGCGATTGTATATATAACCTTGGTTTTTAAATTGAGGCCAATGTCATTTCAAGACGACCTGATTCAAGGAATGCTGTTAACTTAAATCCAGTTTGTTGATAAAATTGGCTCCTGCAGTAGACCAAAGAAACTACACCTTCCTCCTACGGTTCTCATTTTTTTCAAGCATCTCTGCTATAATGACAAACGTGGTTAGTTTCTCTTGGTCAGGAGAAAGAAAGGAAAATGCAGTTAGAAGATGCAGGAACTGTAAAACAGTACTGGGGTATTTGGGGGTACAGGGGAATGATCTCTTTAAAACCTGAAGGATATCTGTAGGGGCTACAGATCATTGCTTGTGTCTTACTGTAATGTTTTGAAAATTTGAATGTGAATTAGAAACCCTAATGTCTAAACTGTTTCTACAGTTATACTTCTGGTAATCCTTTGGTTTTTAGATGCAACAGATGACCTGGATGATTTGAACTTCTTCAATCAAAAGAAAAAGAAGAAAAAAACAAAAAAGATATTTGATATAGATGAAGCAGAAGAAGGTGTAAAGGTATATTTACATAACTAGAACATCTTATCTACGGCTGAAAACTTTCTTGCTTTAATTTCCTTGGGATTGGCAGTGTAGGAGTTGTTTTGAGTCTGTCATTGTGTCTTACTGCAGTTAATAATGAGACTTATGTTTCACTATGTCTTTCATTCATGGTAGCTTCTGCTGAATGTGTTGCTTCTGCAGGGCCTTTTGCCCAGAAGTGAAAAAATCTAACTGATCCTGCACAATGAGCAAGTAGTTCTGCAATCTATAGTAAGGGTCGACTAGCATCAAGGTTAATTGTCTTTTGGGGTATGAGAAGTAAATGGATGTCAGAAGCCGTGCACAGAATCGTCCTGTAAAGGCCAGCCCTTCAAATAAAGGGTTTATATCTGATAACAAATCTGGTTTCTTTTTCTCTGGTGTTTTCTTTAGAAATGATTGACTACTGTTCTGTGTTCCAGAAGGTGTATGAGAGATTTTTACTCTTCTCAAGTTTTATTCCAAGTTGAGTTTTTGTATTGCATGTCAGTGTAACTGGCAGGCCCAGAGAGCAAGAGGATGGAGAAATGTTACGTTATATGTAAACCTCTTCTTTACATTCTGCCTTTGGGGGAAGAAAATGTCTCTATGATCTGTCCCAGACAGGAGAAATGCTTGCTCTGTGTTCTCTACATGTGCAGAATTGTGATAACAGATTGGACTAGCTGCAGGTAGCACAGCTTTGCCTTATCTTATTGTCTGGCATGTTGGGTGTGTTTATTCACCTGTCCCATAAAGGATGATGCCTTTAGATAAATATAATGTGACCTTGTACTTGACCAGCCAGAAGTTAAATTAGAAGATAAAAATCTGGCCCTACTTCATGGTAGTAGTGCAGTGCTCCCTTCAACATATTTTAGTTCCATTCTTGTCTGTTATTTTTCAGGATTGTGGTGGATACTACTAATATTAATCTAGTGTAGTGTGCTACTGGTATTATTTCTAATTCTGTGCAATGGAGATCTGTATTTAATACTGTAAACTATAGTCTTACTATTCCTTTGCAGGAATTGAAAATTGAAGGAGATGTGCCAGAGGCAGTAGAACCTGAAGATGACCTTGATATCATGCTGGGCAATAAAAAGAAGAAAAAGAAAAATGTGAAGTTTCCAGATGAAGATGAGATAATGGAGAAGGATGAAGGTAAAAGTAAAATGTGAACGTAAAATGTAATCCATGTTGTAGGTGAATAAGTTCTGTTCAAGTGACTTTTTTGTTTCAAATTTAATTCTGTTACCTTTACCACTATATTATTTATCAGAAAAATATTCTGTAAAGGCACTGTCTAAATTTGCCATAAGTGCTGGTGTCCCTTGCAGGCAGACAAACAGAGAAGACTTGTGTCCCAAATATTAGTGGAATTTTCTTTGATGTACCTTTTAGAAATGGTGTAAGCATGAGGTAAACAATGTTTCGTTTCTTCTTAATGAATCCCAAACAACTTTCTTTACAGCTTTTGAGGATGAAGATAGCAAAAAAGATGATGGAATTTCTTTTAGCCTTCAGTCAGGACCTGCATGGGCAGGCTCAGAAAGGGACTACACATATGACGAGGTAATGTTCAAAAGACTTTTTAAAAAGATTTTCCATGTTGATGTGTATCAGTAGAGCAGGGCCTTATTTCTGCCTCATATGTCCTATTTCTGCCTTTGAAAGACTTGTAGTCAGGAGCTCATGAACAGAAAAATAACAAAGCACATCTTCTATCACAGTTAATTTTCATAGAGGGGAATATTAGTGATAGTTAAAACACCTCTGCAAATAGCCTGAGGTACTTGTAGATTATGAAGTAAACCATTGGGGAAACAGTTTTTGTGTTTTGCATTTATCAGAACACTTTTAAGTGTGTGTACAAAAGCATATGGGGAAATGCTAGTGGGCAAATACTGTCTAATATTTGTTGTGAACACTTTCAAGATCTATTAGAAGTGATGTACTTCATTGGAGACATGCAAGATACTCATGTTGGTGTGTATCCTTCTTTTTGCAGTTGCTCAACAGAGTATTTAACATCATGCGGGAAAAAAACCCAGATATGGTAGCTGGAGAAAAACGAAAATTTGTCATGAAGCCTCCACAGGTTGTAAGAGTAGGGACAAAGAAAACATCTTTTGTCAACTTCACAGATATCTGCAAATTGTAAGTTTGCTCTTTAGATTTCCCAGGAATAGCAGATAAATGCGCTTTGCTGTGCTGTTGGCTGTTGCATTGAATGTATGTTTTCTGGAAAAGACTATGGCAAAACAAAGTAAATTGTAAGCTATTTCCATCCTACTGCTCGTTTCCTCTACATTTCTCTGTGAGAAAACACTTATGAAGATAATTTATTGAGATAATTTAATA